TCTGGAGACTAGTTACAATCTTAATAGCATGTTTAAAAGAAACAAAAAGAAGTCTGGGGAATGGTGGGCCACAGAACTTGATATGCTCTATTTCCTGAAATGCAAGACACTCTGGGTCAGAATGTACTGAATGGACTTTTTATATACACATCTTTTTATCTCTACAGAGATTTTGTAGGCACCTGTGTGTTACACCAATTAATGAGAGCATTTAGATGTTACAGCTATATGCAATTTATGAATAGTTTATAAAATGCTTTGAAAATGGAAAATGCTAGGTGAGCACTCAAATTATAATATATTAAAAGCCTTTGGTAGGTAATCATTTAATTTAATAACGGGTTCCTTAAAAGGCATGGTACTTTATAGCTAAACAGAATTTCTGATCTTGAATCATTAATATTAGTTTATTTAGAGTAAAATGCCATTAGAGAGCAAATTAGAGATACTGATCGAGTTATTTTCAATTTAGGTTGATATTATTCATATCTCCATCCTTTCATAGGCAAATCCAGCCTTCTCAGGTCCTTGCCGATTTTATGCAGATTCCCCTTACATATACAGGACTCTTGGTTATTCTGCCTGCCTTACCCTCAGTTTTTTTTTTCTTTGCACCTATCTGCCTTCAGGTGTTTTATATGAACCTGTGATTTTATGACAACCCTAAACAGTTTCAAGGCAGTATGTCACATGATCAGTGACGATAAATCCTTTCAGGAGCAATAAAGCCATGAGTTGCAGCCAGTGGTCACCACTGAGTGCTGTCATTCACCACTTCAGCCTACTATCATCATTCTATACCTCTATGTGCACTAATTGAACTCTGCTTTCGTCTCCTGACAAGTCTTCATTCAGAGGCATTAAAATTCAAAATAATTCTATTCATCATCCCCACAGGACTACTCATAAGCAAAATTTTAGAAAAGGCAAAGAAGTTTTTTTTTATCATTTCCCACTTACCTCTTTGGACTTCCCTACATCTTCATTGGTTCCAGAATCTTTTCTATCACTCTAGGAAAATGCTCTCTATGCTTGCCCCATGACTTTGATCTTTCCTCATCCCTGCTGCCATTTAAATTTAGCTCTCCAACGTCCCACAGCATATCTTCTTTACTGTAAAACCCAAATAGTCATTCTTTTGTAAAATGAGTATTAATGCCAAACTGTAGGCACTAAATTAATGTTGCCTCCTGCCTAACAACATTCCTGCTAAATCCAATTAACATTTTTCAATCCTTATGTTCAGCTCATTCAATATCACTCTCCCTCTTTGAGAGCCCCAGCTTCCACAACTCTACTTTCTATAGGACTTCCTACTATCTGACTGGTTGCTCCTTTTTTAACCCAAACTTAAACACTAGGTGTGGATAAGGCTTGGTGTTGGGCCCACTTATTTCCCCACTCTTGAACTTTTATGGATTTACATCACCTTTATGGCAAGAACTAAGTTAATCTCTAGCTTTGTTAGATCTCTTTCATGGCTTCCAACTCACCTATCTACTATCTACCATGTTCAGGATGGAACTTTTGAGTTCAGTCACCTTCTCCATCTCCCATCCTATTCTTCCTCTTAAGCTTCCCATTTCAGTAATTTGGCCCCAAATGTAGGTAGAAGTCATCGTTCTGTTTCCTCACCTTCCACATCAAATTCCTGAGGTCTACCAATTCTGTACAAATTTGGTTTAAAAATACACCCCAAATCCACTTTCTTTTCTCCATCCCTAGCTTACTGCCCTTCCAGGCTGTGCCACCTCTTAAGTTTCTGCTTTTACTCTGGCCTCTCTACCAATTCATTTCCCCACACTGTAATCAAAGTATTCAGATGCCATTACCATTGTACATAAAACCCAGCTCCTTACCACTCCAGCTCTTCTTCCCACTGAATCCATGCTACAGATATATAAGAACTGGCTCCTTCTCTTTTATAATCTCTGGAAGATAGTCCCTGAGTTCCATTATCTAAAGCAGATTCTCCTCTCCCCTTTTCTACCATATATTTAGTCCCACACAAATACAACCTTTAAAAATTCCACTCCTTTTATCACATATACTCCAAGAGAACAAGACCTGTGTCTCACAAATCTGTCTTGGGGCCTGGTATATGCCACATGCTTAATAAATGCAGAACTGTACCTGAAGAAATTGACTGCATGTAGGAAACGCAAGCTCCATGGCAGAACAGTAGAAGAGGTCTGATATGAGTTCACTACATATCAGGCACTGTGCTGCAAGTTAGTAAAATGGTAGACAATGTAAGCACTATCACACAGTAAATCCAAGATCAGGAAACAGAGTATAATGAAAGCACAGGCAATTACTCAAACTAGCATGAAGAGTCTAACATGTTAAGTTCTTACCTACACTACAGTATGGCAGAAGTTAAGAGTCCTCCAGAAAGAGGGACTAACATAAATAAAATCCCAAAGCATGAGTACTGGGGTGTGTAGTGCTCAGGTTCACAGGTTGACAGATAAATTTAAGAGTCAAGTTGGAGTAGGACAGATATGAGACAATATTTAAAAGATAAATAGGACAGCTCTTAGATGACTCACTATCTTAAGTTTAAAAAAAAATCATTTTCCCCACACTGAATTTTCTTTCTCCCTGTCCTTTCTTTCAAATACTGCTTCTTTTATATAACCCTGGACTATACTTAGGTGTCTACCTAAGGACTGAAAAGGTAATCTGGCCATCCCAGTAATCTTCCTTTCTAATATAATTAAACTTTCTTGACCTACTTAAGTAATTTCTAACTAAATATTTTATTAGTGTCCTGAAATTAAAGCAGTAAACTGATATCTATCCTGTAATTATAAAAAAAAAATGGAGCCTGATATTACCTAAAATTCTCATGTGAAACCAGAATTCTCACAATTCTTTCAATTTAATCCCTACCCTTGCCCGATCTACCAATCACAGCAAAGGATAAAAAACATTTAGCAAGAGGACAAGTCCTTCCCCGCAACTCCCGTCCTTCTTTCCTGTTGTCCCCTAAAAAAAAAAACACTCATAATATCTGCACTCATGCTCTACTGCACATCTTCCTCTTCCCCAGTCACAGCCACGAATGTATATTTCTTTTAATTCCCTTAATAAAAGTCCTGGTCTAGGCCCCTGCTTTTCTCATAGTTTCCTCCCTTTCAATGTTGGCTCAATTAAAGTTTAAAAAAATGCTAATACCCCTAGTCAACTGTGAGGACCAAGGAACAGAAACCACTCAAATTAATTTAAAGAGGGAATTTATTAGAAGAATACAAAGGTTATGGCAGGGAATCTAACAACTGTAATGGTGATAAGATAGAATAACACTTTTCTGAAGGACAGATCATGTTGCAAACTTCTACGTCCCTCTGGGTTTTGCGAGATCACGAAGAAAGTATGTTAGAGGATGTTCCTCCCTGTATGATGCACAAGGAACTAGAATGTAGATTCACTTCTGCTTGCTTTTTGGTCCTTATATTCCTTTATGCTGGCCTCAAACTTGTCAAGCACATGTTGGCAGACATTCATGAGCTCATTCAGGCCTCTCTGAAATGGCTCAACAGCTGGAAGAGCTCCTCGAGTCTGAATGCGTAAATTAATTTTACTCTCTGAAGGATGGGTTGTAGTGTAACCACAAAATTCCACTTCCGGGTTCTTCATGATCATGTAACGAAGAGAATTTCCTAGGGTATGGTCCTCCTCGTGCAAAACAAATGTCACACAGTGTCTATCTGTTCCAGCTGCCTGGACCATTTCCAGGGCTGTCTTCCTCTCCTCGCCTTCAGCCATTGAGGTCTTCAATCCAGACATTTTTCTACACACATATTTTTTATAAAAATGAGATTATACTGAATATTTTGTTACTACCTTTTTTCATTTACTATATCACAGTTGTTACACATTAATACTCTAATGCACTCCAATCATACAGAATTAGCATTAGCCCCTTATTTTCCTGCCTCCACATATTCTATCAATAAATCCCTAACTAACCTCCAGTTTCTCCCTACTCCATCTAACCATCCACATGGCCACAGGGGAGTCTCTTTAAAACACAAACTTAAATGTTTGCTAAAGTATTCTTTTGACAGAATCACAAGAAAGGGTAGGGTCAGAGCAGGGTGACCCTGCTAGAGGAAGAAAAGGGAGTTGGAAGGCACAGAGAAACAGATTATTATAAGATTGGAGACTACAGACAGATGATGCAGGCCCATTTGGCGGAGGTAAGGAAAGTAGTTCGATCGAGAAGAGTCAATCCAGCAGGAGGGAGAAAAGATAACTCCGACCACAGAAGAGGGACTTGGGCCACCGTTACAGGGCCTTAGGCCTGACTGAATACACAAATACTATCACTTGGGGACAATGGCCTGGTGCGTGATTTTATACGTTTGCTTGATTTACTCTTGCTGTTCTAATTGGGGATTGACAGTTTAGGGGTTTCTCAACAACTTGTCTTCTTCCCTCCTCGGTATCTAGTGCCTAGAGCGTCTCTATTCAAACACATCCCTCTCTCCTACCTTCTTTTGCCAAGCGGAGGCCCCACTCCCGCCCAGACGCCCATTTCTCACTTGTCCCCTGCACTCCCAGTCAGGCCGGGACGCGGCAGAGGCTGAGGTCCCGGGCGGCCGCGGACCCCTCCACCGCCGCTAGCGCCGGTGCTGGGCGCGGCCCGCTCCTCCCGCCCGTTTCCTCGGACGTTACCTCTCCAACTCCTGGTCCTCTTCCATCGCGGGGGCGGCTTCCGGAATCCTCAGGTGGTGCTGACGGACGGAAGGCTCCCCATCACACGAAACGTGCTAGCCAAGGAGGAAGGAAGGAACCACTGACGGAAGGGGCGGAGGACGGAAGGAAGGGGGAGGAGCCGCAGCGGCGCCACACGGCCCTTCCACTGGGCGGGACTTACGGGCTCCGCCTTGAGACCCCGCCCACAGGCCCCCCGCCGCGCAGCGGGAGGAGGGCGGTAATTAGGCCGGAGCTGCTCACCTGGCGCTTCCGGAGTAGGTCGGCCTCCGGAGCTAGCGGGGAGAGGTGGAGCTGGGCTTCAGCCCCAACCCCAAGGCGGAGACGAGCCTGTGGGCGCCTGAGCGCAGCCCTGGGCACCTTTTTCCAAGTGTAGGCCAAGGGGTGGGGACTACCCGACTCTCCCAAATAACTTTCTTAGGGCCCAAATCCGGCTTCTTTTTGACTTTATGCTGCTAGACCTGCGGGGGACGGTGTTACTCCCACATAGGACCCCAGCCTTTGGGGGGGCTTTCATAGGACTATAGGCTTAATCTATAGTTAATAAATACATCTTGACGAATTTCACAATAGAATAGAATGGGTTTAAGACGTTATTTGAACATCTCAGCTAGTCTTGGTTATTTGCGGGAACAGTGAGAGTTTGGAAGTAAACTTTTTCCTCCCATCCTTTTTCTCCTAGGATCTTTTCTACCCTTGTAAAGAACGTCCTTCCTCTCTTTGGACTTCCTTTTCTCTTTATCCTTTTGGCTTTTTCAACCTCCTCACTGCGGAACCTCCCTCACCTTTGTTCTCAGGTGCCCTGCCCCGCCTCGGCAACCTTTGCACACACTCTCGCTCTCAGTCCCCTTCTTCCGGAGTACCTCTCCTCTCTCCGTCCCCTCAGGAACTCTTCGCTAATAGTCTTTCTTCCCTTCCTCGCTCTTCTGCTCTCTTCGTCTTCCTCCCCCTGGCCAACCCCTGTCCCTACCATTGTACCCTAGTTGTCCTGTTGCTCAGCACACCCACACTTCCACTTTCCTGTGCCACCTGTTCTTCCCCGAGTTCCCTAGAGATTCACTGCTTTCCCCCGCTGTTCCATGCACCTCGCGGCCGAAGACCGGGAGGGCAGAGACACTTCTTGAGCCCGTCCCTGCGAGGTAAGCCGAAGAACGCTGGGGAAAGCGGGTGGGGGGGAGGGCAGGCGGCTCGAGGTGTAGTGGGCTCACTCTAACCCAGGAGTGACGGCCCCGGCTGACCCGCCCCCTAAACCCTGGGATAGGTGGGTCCGCTCTGTCCCGCCCCCTCCTCCGGCCTTTTGTGTCACCGATTGGTCCAGGTGCGTGTCGGGTTGGGCGGCTGGGCCGTGGCGCTTGCCCCCGGGAAGACAGCAGGGGCGGTTGAGAAGTGAAGTCTTGGCGAGACTTTGCTTCTTGCCAGGAAATCTGCAGCGGCTGCGGACGCGTCGCCAGCAGTCTCGATTCCCGGCGTAGCGGAGGCCGCTTCACTCCCAGCTCCCTCAGCGGGCCAGGAAGAGCGGAGCTGACGCTGGGCTGCGGCTCCGGGAGCGGATGGGCGCCTCGGACAGCTGCGCTCTCCCAGTGAGTAACTTTGGCCCGCCTAGCTCCGCTCCCTCTCGCCGGGTCCCCTGCAGCCGCTTCAGGTGCGGGCGTCGGTGGGGTGCGGGGCAGCGCTGCGCCCGCGAGGCAGCCGAAGGGGTGCCACAGCGGTCCTCTGCGGTTGTCCTCCTCGCTGGTCCCGGCTGCGGGGGGACGCGGACCAGGTGTGGGGCTGGCTGCCCTGGTCCGGGGATGGAAGAGACTGGCTGCCCTGCTCCCAGTGTCTGCCGTCCCGTGGGCGCCGGGGAGAGGCAAGCGGCCCCCGCCTGATTCTGGCGACGGTGTTGCTGATCTTTGAGTCCATTGCTTTTTTTAGGGAGGGGAGAGGTAGGATTGAGTTCTTTCCTGCGTGTATGTGGTCATGAGTGAGAGTGGCACTAGCTGCCTTACACTGGGTCTTGTTCTCCTGGAAAGGAATGCGGAGAGAACATACCCTCCAACCCAGCCTGTTGCCTATAAATCTCACCTTACCCTTTAGACTAGAGAGGGTGGGAAAGAGATTTGACGTCTTCGATGGGGGCAAAGAGAGATTTAAAAATAAGTACAGTGATTTGGAAGCAGTCGCAAACAAGGCACCATTGAGGAAATACATCCCTCGCTTTGCAAAGTTTTATGGCATGTTTTAGACTAAGGACTTGACTTATATGTAGTATTTCTTCTGACATTTAAGTTTACATCTAAGGCTATGAATCAAGACGTCCGTATTGGCAAGGAGCTACTACTGTACACTCATGCACGGGCTGGGCTTAACTGTATAGATGTTTCTGTTTAAATCACAGAAACAAGAAACGGAGTTGAGTGGAAACTATGGTGAACTCCAGTGTATGGGAACTGCCTGCACTTTAAAAATTTCCTATTCTTGCAGCAGTAGTACTTATTTGTAAATTGGCTTTTGTCTCAAGGCAGATAATTTTTTTTTCTTGGCATGTACCGTGATGCAGCACTAGTGAACTTGGACCTCACTTGTTTAATTTTATTTATTTTGATAGATTTGATTCACATCTCCATACCCCTTTGAAAATGGACTTTGATCTAATATCCTTTTTGGTCTGTCAAAGCTTTGTTAGGCAATGAATAACAAAGTTTTGCCTTTTTAGTTTGTCCAAGTCACACATGAGAGTTTTTCCCTAGGGGTAAAATGTAGGCCAAATCAGAGCCAAAGTAGAAAAACACTACTTTTAATTTGACCCACTTGTGCGTTAACATTCCTAATTCTGTATCTTGTTTCTCTCCATTCCTCATCAAGTTAGGTATTTTTCATTATTTATTCATTCAGCAAATGGTAGAATGCCTGCTGCATGCCAGACATTGGTGGCAGGAGTCAGCTTTTGCCTAAGTTGTTACAGTCTCACTTGGAAGCTGATCCATAACTTCTATTCCACTGGCTCTCTGAAAGTAATTTGAGCCAAGTGCTGTGGGAACCTAAGAGAGGGAGGTTTTCTGCCTGGAGTTTGTTAGGGAAGGCCTCACGTGGGTACTGACTCTTCAGATTGGGGTGGGGTTTTGCCAGGTGCATTCAGAGCAGAGGGACTAACAGGTCGGGTATTGCATTGAGATCTGCATATATTTACTCCAGCAAAAAGCACACAGTGTCTGGTGTTGGCGTAGTTGTTGGAGGCTGGTGTAGCATTCATTTCAGAGTACTTAGCACTTTATCTTGCTTATAGTAGGCACTTAAATATTTATTGAAGTGACTTGAACAGAAGCATGAAGGATTTTATCTGCCAAGTTAAGAAAATTGGACTTTATTTTAATCAGGAGAATGTAATGATGATATCTGTGTTTCAGAAAAGTATCTACAGCTGTCTGGAGGGTGGTGGCATCCAGGTGGGAGGTGGGGGAAACTAAAGTAGGCACTGTTTGCTGTAGGTGGTGTGTACTCAGGGATTTTCAGTGCGCAATGTCCAGGTTTGAATCTGGCCCTCTCACTCCCTGGGTAACCTTTTTTCCCCTTAGGTTCTTCATTTCAGAGTGTTTGGGGGATGAAACTTGGAAAAACATGTATACCTAGAATAACACTTGGCACATGGTAAGGACCTGGTAGATGCAAGTTGCTATCCTGTGTGAAGGCAGTAGAAGTACAAATGATGTGGCATTTAGGAGGTATAATTGGTTGGGCTAGATAAGTTACTTGATATGACTGGTATCGGAGTGTACTGGTTAAGCTTTCTGTGGAATCAGAACAGGGGTTAAGTTCTATCACCCTTAGAATTACTAACCTGACATTTCATTTCCTAATGTTCAGGAAGTAAGCATAGTACTTGTCTAGTAGGGTTTGAAGATCAAGTGAAATTACGCATGTAATGCTTTTGGCAGACTACCTAGCACATGACAAGTGCTCAATAAATATTAGTTGTTCCTTTAGTGATGACATTAGTGAGCTAATGGAATGTTAGAAGATATGAAAAGGAGTAATTAAAGACAGTTGATGGTAGGAGCCAGGACAGGAAGATAAACTAGCTTTGGGCCAACCCACTAAGATGCCAATGGATGATTGAGATATCTGTGATGAAGTTGTTGGATAGATATGTACAACAGGAGCTAGGAAAGAATGGAAAGGGAAAAAAATAATTCACCTAAACCTAGGTGAACTATTAAATAGTTCACAAGCATTTTTGGATGTGATAAATTTTATGGAGGTTTTAGAGTAAGAGGAAGCAGAGGCAAGGTTTATGCTATAGCAGTGCTAGGAGTGTTGATGTTGAATATTAGGCATCTCTGTCTTCAAATGCATTTTTGCCACCATCACAGGGAATTCCAGGCTCACATAATCTTGTTGGTTCTGGTCCTTTCTCCCTCTCCTCCTCCTCTTTTTTTTTTATTGCTCCTCCCCTTCCAGGTCTTTTTAAAAAATTTTATTATGTGGAGCCATTTATGGTAACTTTTCCCTGCATATGGGGTGAAAGTTCACTCCAGCCCCATCTTTCTGTATCAAAATCCAACAAGGTTTCTGGAAGAATCAAAGCTCTTATTTCATAGGTTCCACTCTACTTAGGAAGCAATGTTGATCGGAAAAAAGAATGTGTGTGTGTGTGTAAGATATGTGTATATATATGTTTACATGTACAACTATATATGTATAAAGTGGGGTGGTAGGGAGGAACAGACTTGTATAAGGACATTGCTTCCTGCAGAGTGGAACTAGAAATACCTGCATGACAAAGTAGTAACTTTGTCCTCTCTTGGGTATTAGCAATACTCCAGAGTGGATTCTCTGAACTCCTGATAAGAAAAGCTGAAAAGCAGAGGTATTGTGGCAGAGGAGGTGTGGCATACTTCACACCTTTATCTTTCCAGGCTCAAGATTTAGGACTGTTATTTCTGACAATTAAAAATCTATTGGTAGAGAAATTATATGGTGGAAAATGATTTTTCACTCAAAATTGGACTGCGTAAGAGATATGAAAATAGAAACAAATGCCGAACATAGGTAACAGACAAATAAAAGTATAACTATATATACTACATATACAAGTATAATATGTAGTATACATATGTGCTTATATATATAAGTATACTGTGCTCCAGTGTCCACTTGAAAACATAACCACTGTCATATGTAAAACAAATGAAATTTTCTTTTTTTTAGATTTATTTTTTGATTTATTAAGTATTTTTATAGATTATGCTATTATAGTTTCCCAGTTTTTCCCCCTTTACCACCCTCCTTCCTATCCCCCTCAACCCTCCAGCATTTCCCCTCCCATAGTTCATACCCATGGGTTATACATATAAGTATTTTGAGTCTTGTTTCCTATACCATTTTTACCTCTCCCTGTCTATTTTATGCCTACTGTGACACTTCTTCTTCTTCCCTGTACCTTTTCCCCCCTATTCCTCCCTTCCCCCTCCCCACCAAAATCTCTCCATGTGATGTCCATTTCTCTGATTCTGTTCCCGTTTTAGTTGTTCACTTAGTTTTTGTTTTCATTGTTTGTCTTCTCTTTTAGGTTTATTTGTTGATAGTCATGAGTTTGTTTTCATTTTACTGTTCCTAGTTTTTTATCTTTTTCTTAGATAAATCCCCTTAACATTTCATGTTATAGTGGCTTGGTGATGATAAACTCCTTTAACTTGATCTTATCTGGGAAGCACTTTATCTGCCCTTCCATTCTAAATGAAAGCTTTGTTGGGTAAAATAATCTTGGATGTAGGTCCTTGCCTTTCATGACTTCAAATACTTCTTTCCAGCCCCTTCTTGCCTGCAAGGTTTCTTTTGAGAAATAAGCTGATAGCCTTGTGGGAATTCCTTTATAGGTAACTCTCTCCTTTCCTCTTGCCTGTTTTAGAATTCTTTCTTTATATTTAAATTTGGGTAACTTAATGATGTGCTTCGCTGTGCTCCTTTTAGGTCCAGCTTCTTTGGGACTCTGGGGCTTCCTGGAAGTCCATTTCCTTTGCCAGACTGGGGAAGTTCTCCATTATTTTTGCAAATAAGTTTGCAATTTCTTGCCCTTGTTCTTCTCTTTCAGGCACCCCTATAAAGTGGATATTGGAACATTTCAGGTTGTCCCAGAGGTTTGTAAGACACTCTTCACTTT